AATAATAATAATAATAATAATAATAATAATAATAATAATAATAATAATAATAATAATAATAATAATAATAATAATAATAATAATAATAATAATAATAATAATAATAATAATAATAATAATAACGATGACAGTAATTGTCCATTGCAGGAAGGAAACTTCTAATATTTTATTTATGAAGAGAATTTTTCAAAAATCTGAACATTGTTCGAATTTCAACAAATTTAACATTAGTCAAAAAATGATTGAGGAAATAGATGACATTTGTATTTGAAAAGATGACGATAAAGAGAAGAAAAGCTTGCAGGAAATTAATTACTCGAGAAGTTTCAACAGGTCGTGATAAGGTACATATGTGCATGGAACAATACGAACGAATGTTTCGCTCTTACCGTGAACCATGCACTCCGGTAGATGTTTTGCACTACAAACCGATTACTAACGGAAAGGATGGAATTAATTGTGATGAGCATATACTTGTGATGTGCAATAATCAGGTAGAGATTTACAGCAATCATTACTTTCTACATGATTTGATTAATGGAGGTGGAGCTGGGGAGGGAAGGGGGAGGGGGAAAAAAAATCTTGAAAAAGGAATAAAACGGAATGAAAAAAGATGTTAGCAATTAATTGATAATATTTGTTGATAAATTAGAATCTATTCAAATTTTATTACTTAATTTCATAAAGTTTTTCATTCGAATAGATCATATTCTTTGCCCAAATCCATGGATATAAATATATGCTTCCGATTTATTGTACGGATAATAACTTTGACAAATATTCTTGAGAATCATTCAGGATTGATATGTAAGCGATGAAAATGTATTAGATAAAGATAATAATTCCATATACAGACATTTGTTGTATTCACTCGACTTGATGGTGTTCCATTGTCACAAGCAGAAATAACGAAGCAATTGGAAAAAGTGATTGAAATGAGTAGAACTGATGGTAATAAAATGAATGATATTATTATTGGTGGTGGCAGTGCAGGTGATCGTGATGATGCTGCTAGATTTTGGAGCTTTATGAAGGAAGGTTCGATTATAAAATTTATTTAAATGTTAAAATTTACTGAAAGCGGTAATATGAAACTTGTTTCTTCAAAGAATAATGCCGATTTTCATCCATTTTACTTAGTTAATTTTTGGCCTGAAATATCACAAATTCAAATATACGTAACTTTCAGTCAATATTTTTAAAAATATTCAGATAAACAGAATCAAAAGGCATTAAATTGGGTCCAATCCGCTTTATTTGGTGTATGCATTGATATTCATAGCGAAATAAAATGGTCTGAGAACTATGAAAGTAATTTGGCATTTCGTGGAATGCATTTATTACACGGTTTTGGAAACAAAGCAGCAGGCTTAAATCGATGGTATGATTTGAGCATACAGGTGAGGATTGTCCCCAAATGTGATCTCATTGAAAATATATTTCAACTTCTGAAATATTCTTTGCTTCAATTTGTTGAAATTAAACTGATTTTGACCAAAATAATGGTCGTTTAATTGATTTGTGCAATATAGCATTCTGTCAAGACAACAAGTAACCTTCTTTAACTTTCAAATTTTAAAATTTCCTCTGAATTTTATAAACTATCTAAATTATTTTTGAAAAAAAAGAAAACTTTTTCTGAACAGTTGATTGTTGCGAGTGATGGCACAAATGGATTGTGCATTGAACATTCGGTTGCAGAAGGAATTGTACTCATAAACTTGGTCGATTATACTATGCAATTTGTGAAACGAAATATTGGGAAGCAAATGGTATGCCAAATTACTAATTTACGCGTATTTCTTCCGTTTAGACTTAATTTCAACTTTTTTTTTTCTTCTTTACAAAGTAATTTTACTTTTATAGTTATTAGAATTTTTTGATGAATGAAATGTTCCTTTATTTTATTATACCCTTCAATTCAAAAAAAAATCAATGATAAAGGGAATTTTTCAGTGGGATGACGTAAAGAATGTAGTACCGCTACAGCTTCACTGGACTGTATCACCAAATGCCAAACCAATTCTTCACAAGCAAATTGAAGTCTTCAATGAGTATGCTTATTCATCGCATAATAATCATAGAAATTTAGTAAAAACAAAAAAAAATAAAGAAAAAAAGAAACTAAGTTTAAAAGGTGAAAAATGAATTTTAAAATTTAAATCATTGACGTAGGAAAAAACTTGCTTTGCAATGTGATATTAATATCACTGATCAGATAACTACTGTAAGTAATCATACCGAATCCAGAAATAATCTCAGCATTTCCGAGATACAACGAATAATGTCTGGTGTTCATCGTAACTTTGTAATTGACATATTTGACTTTTTTTTTATATTTATTCTATTTTCTTGTAGTTTGGCGAATGATTTGAACTTAAAAGTGCTAATTTTTGATGAATTTGGTAGAGAATTCATCAAATCATGTAATATCAGCCCGGATGGTTTTGTTCAATTAGCGATGCAACTTGCTTACTACAGGTTTTCTTCGATCAGTTCAGGATATTCATATAATTTATTAATAAATATATCACAGCATATGTTTACATTTTATTAAATGCTCCTGAAATAGAAAGTTTTGTGAGAATGATCAATGAATTCAGAAATAGTTTAAACAAAAAAATTTCTGGGAATACTAATTACATTCTGTATATAGATTACACGGACACTTAGTATCAACATATGAAAGCGCGTCCATTCGACGATTTCGTTACGGTCGTGTAGATAATATTCGTGCTGCAACACCAGAAGCGTTACGATGGGTGCAAGTGATGCTTATGAAAAATAAAACAAAAGTATATATATAAATTCAAAACTGTCTACTATAAATTACATTTGAGAAATTATTGCAATTATTATTAACCTAATCAGTCTTCTCATTTAACGATTACTTTATTTTTTATGGAAATATGAAGTTTTGTCATTTTTTTTCTTTTTCTTTTCAAATGTAAGAAGATATATTTTAGGATGAGAAACAAAAATTTTTCGTAGAAGCAGTGAAGAAACAGGCAGAAATTACACTTGAGGTACATTGCACTCATTAAACTCATTAAACTTATTAATTATGACATTTTTTTTTCTTTCAACAACAGAAGTGCTGATATCAAATTTGCATCATGTCTGATGAATCTTTGGAAAGTCAGAATCTAAAATTTTAAAAGTTTTTACAGAATATAACTGGTCATGGTATTGATAACCATTTATGCGCGCTTAAATTGCTTGCTGATGAAGAAGTGAAAGAAGGCTTATTGCCAAAAACACCAGATTTTTTTCTAGATCCTACATGGACAGAAACTATGCGATTTCCGTTATCAACAAGCCAGGTTTGTTAATTGTGCTTGATTATGTGAGAATGTTTTTTTCTTTTTTTTTACTTTTTTGTTTTGTCCAAATAACACAGAACAAAAGAATTAGCAACCTGTTTTTCCTACTTCTTTACAGGTAACAACTACTGCCTCAGTCAACGATGCATACCTCTGTTATGGACCTGTTGTTAAAGATGGTTATGGTTGTTCATATAACATTCAACAACATTCAATCATCTTTGCGCCATCCTCATTTAAAAGTTCTCCTGCAACAAATGTTGAACAATTTAAGAGATGTTTGGTCGATTCATTGCATGACATTCAAGCATTAGTCACGCAATAGCTGATTACCAGCATTGTTGAAGAATTTTTGATGAGAAATGATACAAGCAATAATGATATATCAGATTTCTTCATTTTGTAAAGGTATTTTTCTTTTTGTACTTCAAATGATCAAGTACCGAAAAAAATTTCATACTAAAAAAAGCTCATGCTCAAAGATCAATATTGTGCAGCAAAAAATTTGCTTGTAAAAATTGCAGGAAATTTATCATTTGTGGCTAACTTAAAATAATTAAAATTTTTAAAATATTTTACACTATATTTAGCACAACTTTTCACAAAAATCATTCAAATTAAATAATAAAAGATAAAAATAACAATCTTTGCTACCAATCTGATTATCTAATTTATAAAATTGAAATTTTTTAAAAAAAATTGGTGTATTATTTGTGATATTACTAGTTATCTTCGATTATTACTTACATTACTATCTGTTAAGCTCAATAGTTTGTGATGTTTGTCTCTTATGTATAGTAGTTCTTCGTATCATAGAATTGAAATTATATGTTTATTAATTGAATATGACAAAATTTAACTTAACCTTTATTCATCTCGATAGATATGTGCAAATGATCTATGATATTTTTGTTCAGCAGCAATTACCTTTGATGAACATTATTTGCTCATTATAATTCGGGACAAATAACTATTATCGTTGTCATTTGCAAAATGTAATATTTGCATAATTTTCTAATTCCATTTCAATTTGTATGTATTCAAGTTGTTCATTAGTCAATCGATAGACGTATGCAAACTTTCTATATGATGTTATGATTAGTTAATTAATTAGTTAGTGGTGTAGTTGAAATGTAACCATCTGCAGTCTGACAATACTGAATAAATGGCTCGATAAATTTCATGAGAGTGACATTAGATTTGAAATTTTTATTTTAAATGTAAAGTTTAATTGCAATGTTCTAATCAGTTGACAGAATTTTGAACAATGACACTTCTCCAACACAGTAATGGCACTTCCAAGAGAAACTGAACGGGGTGATCAGGTATTTTTGGTTAGTTCTCTGGTTAATTGGGAGTGGTGATTATAAACATATTCATAGACATTGATGAGGAATTATTTTAACTCATCATTCATTTTACATCTAATATTAATCACATAATTGAGTGGAAGCAATGGTTGTAACGAGTTCAAACTTCAAATTATTTGGCGGTAATTGGTTTTTTTCGTCCATCATCTCCAATAACTTCATTTGTGATGATTGGATTTTCGGGATACTGCCATCTCTCGCCATTTCTGTAATAGAATTCTATTCTATTTCATTAACCATTTGGTTCATATGATTTTTGTAATCAATTAAATGAATTTTGATGAATCACATTAGACAAGATACCTCAATTTGCATACAATCAAGTTCACTTAGCACTAAGTGCGAGCAAGAAGTACCTAAAGCCAACCCTAAAAATTAATGATTTTTTTGTCATTTATGTACCTAATATCAAGTCATTATAACGATCCTGTATATGGGAATATGTTACCTTTCATTTGGTTGATCATTGGGGTAAGCGACAGAAGAAAATTTTTTTGTTTAACCGGTAGCAGTTTTAACCATACTGGTAAAGGTGATGGGGTGGTGACCGAATATAGCGAATCCGACATAACTGGAGATGGTAATGAAGTGTTTGGAAATGATACTGTAGTAGTTTTAGCACTATTTGCAAGGATAATTTTATTCATCCAACCCGAATGAAATATAAATTTGCTTGTAATAGGAGCCAAAATATTCTAACAGTTAGGAACATCCAGCAGAAAGGAAATTAAAGGAATGAGACGGAAATAAGAATGAAAACTGTGAGCCAGCCAATGATTTGATGAAGCTAAGAGTAGGGCAATACGAAATGTTACCAAGTTGTCATCAGATGTCATCGATTCATCACATCAAATATTTTTCGTGAATTTTTTAATGGAAATCTTTCATTCGAATATCATACAATT